GAGAGAGAGAGAGAGAGAGAGAGAGAGAGAGAGAGAGAGAGAGAGAGAGAGAGTTCAGGCAGTGACTATTTTGGGCCTATGAGCGCCCAGGATCTTATTTGAGATACTGAGAGAGATGATTATTGGACATTTGACGGGGAAGACTACTTTAGGACTACTGTGAGTTATTGTCTTGTCTCCTCCCCCTTCTTTCTCCTTCATCTCCTTCCCACCTCCATCATCCGTGGTCTTCTCCCCATTTGTGTGTGCAAAGACGGATTTCTCTTCCAATGCTGTTTCCCCCCTTACTGATTCGATATGTGTGATGTCTGTGTCAGTCGACTCTGAGACTGACGAGTCGAGTCATATCTTTGAGTCTTCCGCTGTGGTACATTGCACTATCTCATTTGTTTTCTGGATGCACAGTGCTTATTTGTTGGTCGCATTGCTTGTCCTGAGCCCAATTCATCACACTGGAGCTCCTTTGGACGTATGCATCGCCCATCGTCAGATAAGCATGCATCAGACATTCTCAGCTAGCTAATTCTAGGATTCCAACACTCAATTGGGCTTCCTCTGTCCTTGCACCAGGAATCACAACAGGAAACCAAGAAAGCCAACCAGAAATGGGAATGGTGCCAAACGTCTTAAGCTCATTCCATAACGCATCAAAGTTGCCCATAAAATACAAAAAGAAAGAAAAAACAGGAAACGACTGTTGTCCTTACACGCAGGTTGAAGCCAGTCAGGCCCCATTGGATGGATCATTGGTTTGCTAGCATTTTGACTGCTGCCTGTGGGGCTGGGAAGGAATAAAACAGGACACAGTGAAAGCTTTGCGCCGAAGGAGGGAGGGGTTGGGTGGGTGAATTGGGTAGTTTCACAGCTGTCCTCACCAACGGCCGAAATGCATTATGGGGGCATTCAGACAGGCTCTCCTCTGTGATCTTGGAGTAGGATGCGCGCATGTTGAGTTTGAGGCCATTGGGTGGTTCAGTCACCACTTTGAGACTCCGCTGCAGCACTCCGAGCGGGAATTTCGGTGTTGGCTCGGTTGTAAGCCAAAGCCGGAAATCTTTGTGCGGCTTCTCAATCTTCTCGAGAATCTTCTCCAAGGTCTTCAGCCATGATGGTAGAAGGTGGCAATTCTGGAGCATCACCCACAGGCCACGCGTTGACCCTGTCTCCAGGAACTCCGCAGCTTTCGGCCCCATTCCTTGGCCAAGGGCCATGTACTTCAGCTTGGCGCCTGCTTTGAAGCCCATCTCCTCTCCGAGCTTGAAAACATCGAACGCAGGATCCGCACCAGGGGAGAGAATGAAAACAACAGGGGTAAGAGGTGTGCTCTGACGATGGATCTGGCGATAATCGAGCACAGGCGGAGTCACGTATTTCTCCCCTATTCGGCTGATCACATAACGCGTAAGTGCCACAGTCACTCGATCAACCCGTAGGCAACGAAGCACCAGCAGATGCTCGAACAACGACAACTGGTCGCTCCATCCACCAGGAAGAGGGTGCTCCTCAGGCCTTTCCAGGTCATACCACGCATGCCATTCTTCTTCATTGACTGCCACATGGCCAGCCAGGCGGGCAAACTTATCTGCCAGTGTGATCAGCTGCATAAGGTCCTCCCACCCCTGCTCTGGCCACCAATCGTACGGCTTCCTTCGTGCTGATTTCTCCAATGACAGGTTACCCTTGAGCAGGAAATCCAGTTGTGCATGATTTAGATCCTTCTCACCCTCTGCAATCTTGATTGTCATTTGGAACGACAACATGACCTTGTGTTTCTCAAACAGACCCAAACACGTGTAATTGTACACATCATACATGAGTGCATCCAGCACATTGCGCAGCCGTCCGTCCAGTGATGGATCACGTTTGCTTGTCTCTAGAGTGTTCCGAAACACTGCTAAAAAGGAGTAAAGAGAGTACTCGTACATGTTGTTCACCGCTGAAAGAGATGACATCACAAAGAAGAGGATGGCACCTCGCTTGGCAGCAGGTGAATATCTTGTACGCACCTGCTTTCACAAAAGTGATGTGAAACAATCCAACAGCAGAGATTCTACAGTTCAGTGGGCATCCAGTTTTAAAATGAATACTATCATGAACAAAGGTGGGATGGCACTATTCATGGCACACTCACCAGCTAAGTTGTAGGGCCATGCATCAGACGGTGGGCACTCTGGGAACCGTATTTGTGCTGGTAGAGCCTGTTGAAAGGCATTCCGCGATGCAGACCCCAAATTCGAATTTCAGGGTCAAGGTCTCAGGCCAAGGGAGGCCAAGTTGGCCAGTTCAGAAAGGCCACAGTCGGGTACCTTAGGAGTCAAGTCCAACAGGCACCCGGTGAACAGTCACATCCCAGAGGCAAAGGTACAGGCACAGGACACTTCTCCAGGCAAAAGTCGTGTCCCAGAGGCAAGAGTCACATCCCACAGTCAAAAGTCATGTTCCACAGGTCAAAAGTCACGACTCACAAGCCCAAGCAGCAGCACACCAATGAAAAATCTGGAGAAGTACCAGGCCTTGACATTCTGAGGCAAACAGGCCGTGGGCATGTGGTACCAGGTCCAAGTCAAGCCAAAAGAAGCAGAAGATGGGACGATTTCAGGCTCAACCACATTTCAAGCAGATTGCTCATTCGTGAGAAGTGTGGAAGTGCTGCCAAAGCGCTTGTGAGCTATTTGCAAGTAGAATGCGCGCGAGAGCCCTGCTGGACAGCGCTGCACTGAGAGGGAAGGCGGCCATAGCCGCATAGCTAGTGATAGGAGGTAGAGCTGAGTAGCAGCGGATGTATTCAGAGTCAGGATTCTCAAATAGAGAGAGAGGGAGAGAGAGCGCATGCATGAGGAAGACCAGAAGGGACAGAGAGAAGAGAGAGAGAGAGAGAGAGAGAGAGAGAGAGAGAGAGAGAGAGAGAGAGAGAGAGAGAGAGAGAGAGAGAGAG